ATATATATATATATATATTAATTCTCACATATATAATGTAATACATTGAAAAAAGTTAATTTTTGAAAAAATAATATTTGTAGCATACATATTTATCTTTTGTGTTTTCTATTTATAGTATAAGTTGATTACCTAAAACAAGTGCAGTCATTAATCCTATCTTTAACTGTTGAAAAGACTCTTTTGCCTTGTCGGTCCAAACAAAATTATCCTTCTTTAGCATGTCAGCAAAGGGTCTTGCTATAGTCCCATACCATCTCACAAATCTTCTGATACCCGGTAAAATCAAGAAAACCTCTCAATTGTTTCACATTTTGAGGTAATGGCCAATCCCTAACTGCTTGTATTTTTATAGGATTAGTTGAAACTCCTTCCCTAGACAAAAAATGGCCTAAGTATTCCAGTACCTTTTCTGCCTTGAAATAACATTTTGATTTCTTGGCCAACAATTTATTCTCCCTCATAACACAACACTTTCTTTAAATGCTATAAATGGTCAACTTCATTGGTGTTATAAACCAAGATATCATAAAAAAAGAAGGAATTTTCTAAGAAACTTATTGAAAACAACATTCATTAGACTTTGGAAGGTTACTGGTGCGTTTGTAAGTCCAAATGGCATAACTACATACTCATAATGGCCATTATGAGTCTTGAATACAATTTTATGAACATTTGTTGGATCCATTCTAACTTGATGATAGCCTGACCTTAGATCAATTTTAGAGAAGAAAATAACACCATTTAATTCATCTATGATATCCTCTACCGAGGGAATAGGAAATATGTCCTTCATCGTTCCTTTATTCAACTCCCTATAATCCACACAAAGCCGCCATGACCCATTTTTTTTTCAACAAGCACAACAGGACTTGCATAAGGGTCGCAACTACTCTAAATAAAACTATAATTTAGCATGTCCTGTACTAGTTTGCCAATAATGTCTTTTTGATTGCCAACATATCTATAAGGTCTCTTATTGACTGGATTTACACCCTGTAGCAATGGAATTTTGTGATTAAACCCTTCTCTCATAGGAGGTAACTAAGTAGGCTCCTCGAACGCATCCTCGAACTTAGCTAATAAGGCAGGAATTGTTGTAGAAGTGGCTGTCTGTTGAGCATGAGTAGTTAAACTCTGCAGAAAAGGTCCTTCATCCTGATAAACTTGTATAATAGAAAGATTTTTTTTTATCACAAAATGTCTATTGAGCAAGTAATGCCTCCATTTTTGTACAACAAATACCACTGCCATCAATTCTTTCTCATAGGTCGATAAAGATTGCTGGTGTTTATTTAGGATCCTGCTGATAAAGGCTAAAGAATGATGATCTTGGATTAACACAACACCAATGCCATACCTTGAAGCACCCACCTCAACTATGAATGTTTTGCTGAAATCTAGAAGAGCTAAAACAAGTGCAGTCATTAATCCTATCTTTAACTGTTGAAAAGACTCTTTTGCCTTGTCGGTCCAAACAAAATTATCCTTCTTTAGCATGTCAGCAAAGGGTCTTGCTATAGTCCCATACCATCTCACAAATCTTCTGATACCCGGTAAAATCAAGAAAACCTCTCAATTGTTTCACATTTTGAGGTAATGGCCAATCCCTAACTGCTTGTATTTTTATAGGATTAGTTGAAACTCCTTCCCTAGACAAAAAATGGCCTAAGTATTCCAGGAATTTGTAAAATTTCTCATCCAAACACACTATTATTGTTTTCCTCTATTTTTCTTCTTTGGTTTTCAACAATAATATCTTATCTGACAACAATATCTCTCGTGCATTGATCAATTTTTTGTACTTGCATATATTGATTGATTTTGTTCTGTTTCTTTCTTTTTTACCTTTTTCTTTTCTTAATCTAAATCTCATAGTTAAATATATATTTGTCCCTTAATTAACTTAATGAATGAAGTTTTGTTTCTTTCTGTGCATGTTCTCAAGGAGGAAGAAGGAAACTTTATAGTGTGTTTTGGATGGAGAATTTAAATGGAGTAATTCATTTATTTGAAGAATTTCAAATTCTTTGAGGTGAAATACCTTGTTTAGATGACGAATTTATATGAAATTTGAAATTCAAGCATTTGTGAAATTCCTTGAAATAGTAAAATTTCAAATTCTCCCAAAAGAGTAAGAATTTAAAATTCCTCATATTTTTTTTCTTCTTATTTCACTTATATATTTTATCTTATCTCTTATCTCTTCATGTTTTTAATTATTTAATATTAAAAAATATTTTTAAAATTATTAAATATTATCTAATATTAATTTTTAAAATTATTAAATATTTAAAAATTAGCAAATATTTGTTTTTATAAAATTTAATTTAAAAATCTCAACATATAAATATATTTTTAAAATCAATTTTATCATGATAGAATCAAATTATCATATCCAACCTAACAATTTAAAATTTGATAAATTTGAATTGACTTATCCAAACAAAATATTTTAAGAATGATAGAAATTGAAATCAAAGTAATTCAAATACCAAGAATTTAAAATTCCTTGAATTTGTAAAATTCTCCATCCAAACACACCATCAAGTTAATTCATGCATCATTTTTTAGCAAACAAGTTCTTATACCCTTCACATGACACTCATTTATACACAATTTCTAAGGAAACGAGCTCTCATGTTCCTTACACAAACATAGTTTGTGCGTGATTTTTAAGTGAACAAGCTATTGTGTCCTTCACAAAACCTTCATTCATATGAGATTTCTGAGCAAATGAACTCTCACGTCCCTTACACATACATCGTTCCTACGTAATTCTTGAGTAGACAAGCTATCACACCTATAACAAAGACAAATATGAAGATGACGACCAAATCACTACTAGCGAACAAAATCCAAACAAGAAAATCAACATTTTTTCATATACAAAACAACAAAACACATAGAATGCCTCTCCTATAACATGGAATGCCTCTCCTATCACCTTAGTCATCAACATCTTCAGAAGTCTTGCCCACAACAACAATATTCTAAAAAAAATTCATGCATAGCACCGAGCTTCCAAACATCACGAATTATGATAAGGCTCGCGAGGACGGGGACGGGTATCATGAAACCTGTAGCCGCCCCCGTAGTCATCCCTACCTGATCCCGAGAACCAACCCTTCACATGATTTAGTTGCCCAAATTCTATCAATGCTCATGCTCTCCCTTTCTTTTTCTTGATTTTAAAACTTCCATTTTTAGATATGAATTTGGCCATTATGCTTTGTCTTGTAGTGCACTTTCATATATATTCCTGTCTTTTTTTTATTAACACATTAATAATTATAAATATGAATCACTAAGGTAAAAGTTGTAGGCTTTTGTATCGTGCAAAGACAAAAGGAAAACTTAAAGTCGATTTACAACAATTCATTGAAATTATTCCATATTTACAATAATTTATTCCACATTTTTCAATATATATATATATATATATATATATTAATTTAATAATTCAGAAGGTTATTATAAGAATATATCGTAAAGTGAATTTACAATAATTCATTGAATTTATTCCATTCTAATTTCGATCAATATTACAAATATGGTCTTTTTGCTACACTCACATCTTATGATATTAGAATTGTAAAGTTAATATTATTATGAATGAAAAGAACATAAGAAAATAATAGCATATTTTAAAGTCAAACTACAAAAAGAATATTTTTATAAAAAAAAATTGTTTCATGCTAGAGAAATAATTTCTTTTACTAAATAATTTTTTTCCTGTTAACCAAACCTTTTTTTTTTAAGCCTCGAAATGGCAGACAAAAACATCACAATGAAGATTGCCATCACAAATATATTACTACAACCCCGATCAATCTTCCACAGACAAACATAAATTTATTGAAAAAATAAAAGATGAAGAGCACGGGGACAAAAAGCCAAAGCCCGTGATAGGAAAAATAAACAAATCAGGGCCATCAAAATTTATAATTTGGTAGATCTTGCTTATTGCGGCCAAAGTCTTCACTAATGAATAAAGGAATCAAATCCTACACACACATGTACACCCAAAAAAAAATGATGAATAGCAAAGGAAGCAAGCTAGTCTACGCAACTATTTCCTTCTTAAATAGGATATTGGTTATTTAAAAAAAACTTTAAAATATAATGATTAATATTCAATAGTCTGTATGGATATTAAATTCACTAAATTAATTATTGAGTAGTCTGCATGAATATTCTATCTACTTGTCAAATTTTTTCTTTATTTATTTTCCAATCTACTGAGATAGTAATAAACGAAACCAAAGAGGTGTGCAACATATGTCTAAAACTCCTTATAATAAAATTAAATACACCAACCATTATCATGATTTAGAACATATCTGTATTTATTTTCCATTTGCCACGTACAAAAAAAAGAACTTGCCTCGATCCAAAAGATTGCATAAAAAAGACTTCACATAATAATTATAATTAATACTACTAATTATTTAGATCCATTTAAAATGGGCCACCCACCATTGATACATGCCTCATAGGTATGAGGGGGTGTATTGGGAAAATCCAAGTCCCGCCTATCCTAGATCATTAAAAAAGGGCTACCCACCATTTATCCACGTACCAAGCCCAATAGTGCTGGACGTGAGGGGGTGTATTGGGAAAAACTCGAGTCCCACATCGACTAGAGATTAGGCAATTGAATAGTATATAAGTGGAAAGCAACCCTTACCTTACAAGCCGGTTTTGTAGGGTTGAGTTAGGCTTAATCCACTATTCTAACATGG